GAAATAGTGACCCTTTAGCTGGCCACTGACAAGAGGGCATTTCCGTCTTACTCTGAGAATAAACGAACACTGGGGACGTCCTCATTCACACTTGCTTCCCAATGACATTTTCCACTGTCCTGGATGAGACAGGGACAGGCCCTGACCAAGTGATGTGACTTACTACATTAAAAAGAAGTACATTTTCCATTAATTGAAGACAACGGAGCTCCACAGTCTGGACATTCCCCAAGCAGAAGGGACCTCAGCAAGGACAGTAGTGACACCAGGAATGGGTGGGAGCCGGCCACTGGTGGGCAGACAGCTACTAACCCTACCTGGCAGGGTTGAAAATGGGATACGTTTTTAAATCTAATCCTCTCATGTGAAATGTTTAGATAACACATTTAAAGAAGTTAGAATAGAATAAACAACTTTGAGTATGTTTCCTTTGGCACAATAGAACTAAGTAAATCATTCCTAGCACTAAAGCTAAAAAATGTCCATCAAGGGAGCAGCAATGGGGCATCTGAAAAGGAATGGGTCTGGATTTGGAAAATTGGGGCTCGCAGGGCAGGTCTGCAACTTCTGGACGGTGGACAGCTGCTTAGAGGCATGTCCTTTAGTGGGAGAGTGTGGGGTTCTGAAGGCACGTCAACCCACGCTGGAATACTGGCTCTGTCCCCAAAACCATTTAACCCTCCAGAGACTGTCTCCTTATTTCTCCCATGGATGGTGGGACTACATGATCATGGTGGGCCTCCTAAAGTATCACCCAACAGAATTTGTAGGTCAGACAGGAATGCGGAAAGCTCCCATTCATCCACTAAACAGGAAGGGTTCAGATCAGTGGTGGCCTTTACCGTGGCCAAGACTGCCAGTGGGGTTCACATCTGTTTCTCCCTCTCCATCCTTTGGTGCACACGAGCAGGGCCCCCCACACGCTAAGGCACACAGCCCACCCAACCCGTACAGCCTTTTGTCAATGAGCCATGAATAAACCATACACAGAGAGAAGCTTCTTTTTTTTTCTTCAATTTAATTGAAGTTACTTAGAAAAATAATCAGGCTTGAATGGCTTTTCCTGGAGGAAGGTTCATGAACATCTCACGCTTTTGTTGGCAATGTGGAATTCAGCTTTCTCGAACAGTACAGTAGGAGACGGAGAGTTTTTTAAAACAAGCCCTCTACTGCATACAAATAGGTAAGGAAAAAAAATCACACTCCACAAAGATGTTAAGTTGTATGTGCATATACCATACTGAGCATGCTCATAGGAAAACAGTACGGGCAGCCCCTTCTGTACCCGACAGAGTAGCAAATCGAAATTCGCCTGTGAATAGCCAAGGGGCAAGCTGGTTATCGTAGGTCCTGTTGCCTGTTCATAGGGTCCGGTCAGCTGATGAGAAAAGGCTGGAAGAAATAAATGCTGGTTTTCGGAAACTGGGGGAGCCATGAGGTCAGTCCCGCTGACATAGGAGGGGGCTGGGAAGGGATTCTGGTCACCGGGATCGCACAGAAGGGGGCAGCTCATTTTGCGTGTGTTGGTGTGTGTGGGGGGAGGGGCAGTCTGCAAGGGACATGGTCTGACACCACCCACCGGGGACAGAGTCCCTTGGCTTCTTGCCAGGTTCGAACAGGGACTTCTACTTGTTCTACCTGAGTAATCACTACCTCAGCAGTGGGCCAGACCCCACCAGCTAAGTGCACCAGGGACTTGCTTTTTTTTTTTTTTTTTTCCCTTCCCCTGGGAACTTTCTACCAGCAGGAATTAGCCCCTTGTGCCTCCACACCTTTGCTCTCAGGAGGGTGGAGCTCACCTGGTGGACAGGGAGGAAGGAAGGTCCCCTCTGAGACACCAGAGGTCAACAGACTGCTTTTCTTCCCAGACCAGCTGGGGAGGTGGAGAGGGGGACGGGGAGGGTGGTCCAGAGAAGCTGCAGGAATTCAAACCCTGTGGCTAATATTCTAGAATTTTCCAACCACAGAGATAGGTTAAGCAGGAATGTCCTTGTAAATATTACCCTAACTGTACCTGGTTTTGAAAACACAGCAGCACCTTTGAAAAGTGGCTTGGAGGTGGGACACCTGCCTGTACTTTTCTCCAGCGAAGCATGCAATGAAAAGCGTTTTCAGTTTTCTTAAAAACAAAACAAACAAAAACAAAAACACAAGCTTTTGCTTCCCAGGCACATTTTTACCCATAGATTCTTTTATACCAAGGACACAGAATACTTTCTACATTCTGCAGAACAGTTGATTCAGTTTGTTTTTTTTTTTAATTTTTATGCCACTAGAAAACAAAATGTGAACACAAAACAAACACAGGGAGAAAGTCCCTCATTGCAGAACTACACTGATGTCTTGTCCCCTGAAGGATAGTCTTTCTCGCTTGAGAGAAGATGGATGAAAGGCGGTACTCTGCACACGGCCCGAGTGAGCTCACCCAATCCAACAAAGATGGTGGCGGGAACACAGAGTTGGGGAAATCTATGGGAATTTCCATTGGAAAAACAAAAGCACATGGTGAACACTCCCAAACTCTGGAACTAAAGAAGCACTCCTGAAGGGTTGAGCTCCCTCTGCGTGCTTTGAGCAACCTAAGGCTTGAGGAGTAGGGGGGACTATTCTGTGGCCTTATGTCCCCTCCCCTTCCTCTGTCTACACCACTCAACACCATACCCTGCTCCCTTTGGGAGGGATGGAATCATTGCCCAGGGTAGTATCCAGGATTAAAACCATTGCACTTAAGTAAAAGTTTAATTGATTTGATAAAGTACCTCTGTTGCTATAAACCAGATAGAAATGGATTGATCCTGTTTTATTGTTTTGTTTTGTTTTGTTTTGGAGAAGGGTCAGGGAAGTCGTTTTATCCTTGACGACCTCAGATATGCGAAATCGACCTAACCGAAGTATATATTCTGTGGAACATTTCTGTGAGATCTGCAAAATAGAGTATCCTGGTCACGTAAGTTCAGGAAATGCTACCAACTCAATGATACTTTTGGGGGTTCATAATGCACAGTGTACATCCAAGGCTCTGAAAAGTCCTGTAGAAAGGAAATTGACTTAACTTTGTTTCCCAAAGATATTTGACCTCAAAATGCTTTTTTTTTTTTCTCTTTCTCCTTTTCTTTTCTTTTTTTTTTTGCATCACACTAACTTCACATCTCCTAGAACCTTTTTGTTCTGTGGAGCACATATCAGGAAATGCTGGACAATGTTTCATTAGCAGAAGCCCTATTTTGGAGGACAGTGTCCCCTGCCTGGAAACAGGGCCCAGACTCCCAATTCCAGGGACAGCTGAGGTCTGTCGCTCTATTCAGTAAAACACATGGCATACATCTCTGTCCATGGAGGGCACAGTCGCTGTGCCCTTCACAAAGGGGAGAGAGCTTGGACGAAGGGACACAACATTTTATAAAAAGCTTTGGCCGCCCCCTCCCCAGTGCACACCTCACTCACATTCAATAAAATCATGTCCTCAGTGAGATTCAGCAGCTGCTGCTGAGCTGGCTGTGAGCTTTCCAATACAATTCTAATAGTTTCTGTGAATAAATTATTCATTTCTGTTTGTTTAGAATATTCTCACCCCTTTGCTATATACTGCATCAAAAACAAAACAAAAAGCAAAACTTACCCACACCCCATCCCACCCCACCCCCTGTTATTACCACTATAATTATTATTATATACAGGATTTGCTACCAACTCATTCACTAGTTGTAAGAGGGATGTGGCCAAATTTCAACCGAGGCATCGAAATGGCTGGAAAATGAGAAGCATGTGCAGATGGTAATTAGCAAGGAACAGGAAGTAGAATGTTTCCGACCTTCCGCAGGAAAAGGGGCATGGATTACAGTCATGGAAGGCTGTCCTTGCTGCTCATGCATGGTGCTCGCCAAGGTGTGGATGGTCTCGGCCTCTGGAGGACTTGGGAGGGGTATGTGTGTGCGTATGTGTACAGGGGGTCCACCTCTGACCTTCACCAGGGGAGAAATGCCAGACCACTCCAGGTCCCAAATGTACGAGGTCTGCCACAGCTTCTCACTCTTGCACATGGCAAAGAGGAGAGAACACTTCCACGCGGAGGCGTGGGTGCCGGGGCTGACGGGACAGGAAGAGGCATTGGCGAATGATCCCCTTCCCTCCCCGCCAAGGCAGACATCACTAATCAGTGACAGCCCCCTGGCGAATCTGTTCTGGGGCTTAAAGGCGGACACTACCAATCCACTGGAGTGGACACATGATGGGAAACACTTTTGTCTTCTCTTGTGTTGGGTGAAGAGCCTGGATTACTCACCAAGTGGCCTGTTCTAAGTGTGTGGTTTTCAAATTTGGGCCAGAGAAAAACGCAAATCTGTAGGGGTCATGGGCCTTCTGGGGTTGTTCAAAATGGTCCAAACCTCATGTAACGTCCATGAATATGAGGGGTTTGCTAATTGTCGAGCTGGAAACTGTGTCCACATAAAGCTTCTTGAGGGCCGAGACCATTGGTTTTGTTCCATGCTCTATCCGCAGGGCCTACAATTAGGCCCAGCACATAGTAGTTGCTCAATAAATACTTGTTGACTATAAAGTAACAGCCACTTCACTATTACAACTGGCACTGCCAGTTAAAAATTTCTGTAGAAAAGCCTATTTTATCAGACTGCTAATTCTGGTGGAAAAGAAAAAAAAAAAAAAAAACTACACTCAGCTCTTCTCCTTGGGTTTAAAAAAAAAAATCACATTTTCTTTTTTTTTCTTAGCGCAACAGACTCTTGGGTTGCTTGGAATCTGTTTGGAATCAGTCCCTTGCAAAGGTGCCTTTTTCTATTTATTTCTCACCGATTTCCAAGAAGGGTGGTATCAACAGACATCACAAGGGTTATCACACAGTTAACTCTGTGAGCGGTTAGTGAGGAGAACATTCATGCCCCAGAATGAGCTTGTAGCAAGCACAGAACAAAAACACACATTTCTTCTGCAAAGACATTAGGATCTTGCTGCCACAGAAAGAAATCTACACAGAGACCATGTTTAAATAACGATAAATAATATTAATTAGAATTTCTGGGATGCACAATCCGTGGAATTCACCAGAGCACAAGGAAACCTCTGAGGCAGTGTTGCAGGTATTCACGTCTAAGCACAAGGACACCCGTCCTATTCCCCTGCAAAGACAGCCGTCCTTCCCTACTAAGGATTTTAAATAATTCTCAACCATGCTGCTCGCAGCATCATTCCCCAAAGAAATATTACTTTACAAAATAACCCAGTATCCATATAATTTCTTTTGACAAATAAAAATCTTAAATTAAAAAGCACGATTCTCTCCCCTCTCCCCATGCCCCCTTTATTCCAACTTCAGGTAGCTTGGCACTGAGTAATTGAACATTAAAAAATCGAGTTTGTAGACTTCGTACAGCTGCGTTTGGTGCTCCGAGCTGATGTTCTGGAAGAACTCTGTGGTCATCTCGTCAGTAGTTCTCGTAGACTTGGCATAGGTGGGGAACTTCAGGTAGCTGCCCACGCCCGCCAGCCGCAGGACGTAGTTGGAGTCCTCCTCCAGCGTCTCGTACTTGCCCACGAGGTCGTAGTGGATGTGGCACGGGTGGCAGAGCGAGTGCACGGTCTGCCAGTGCTCGTTGAAGGGCTCCTCGCGCTGCGTGTGCGGGTCGACGAGATAGGCCACGAACTCCTCGAAGCGCACGTCGTCACCCCTGCGCAGCGCCTCCTGCGTGGCATTCTTGCGCTGCCGCCGGATGATCTTGGTGCCGTAGCGCTTGTGGAAGGACGTGTTGTACTTCTGCGTGAACTTGTTGCGGTAGGCCGACACCAGGCGCTCGAAGGGCTCGCGCACGAACAGGAACTTCATGTAGCTTTTCAAGCGGTGGTTGATTTCTGGGATGCTGTACTGGTTCAGGGTCTTGAGGTTGGCCGCCACGTGCGCCTCGCTGGCCGGGATCTCCATGGGGTCGCTGTACTTGCCCCGCCCGGTGAGCACCATCATGAGCCGCTTCCAGTTGGTGCACGCCACCTTGGGCACGTAGCAGTAGATGAGCTCGTGGTCCTCGTCCACCACCAGGTGCTTCAGGTCGCTGGGGGTCAGCACCCGCCGCTTGCGGCTCAGGGCGCTGTTGGCGCGACAGGTGTCCGTGACCTGGTCGCGCCTCATCTGGTGCAGGACGGCGGTGTTCGAGAGCTCCAGCTGCAGAGGGGACACAAGAGGAACACGGATTCAGTGCGGGCGCGGGAGATGGGCCCTTGGGCCGCGTCCACAACCACGACGGCCAGTGCGGTGCCCCCCACCCCCACCCTGGGCACAGCCAGCCCACGACCGAAGTGGCGGGTCCGCCTTCCTAATTCTCCACCCCAGCTGCCTCGACTCTTTGGGTTCTTTGTTCCACCATGTTTCCGTTGTGGAGTAAGAGTAATGATCAAGTCTGTAGCTTACGCATCACCCTCTAACTGCCTGGCATTTTACTAGTGGGCTTCGCGTTGGCTGTTTTTCTTCTCCCTGTACAACCATCTAGAAACGGGGTTGATTTAACAGTATCAAGGCCCCGCCCCCGTTGCCAGGAAGCCTGCTGCCAGGCACTGGGGATGCGGCCATAAAAAATACAAGGAGGTAACTGCCCTTATGGAGCTGACCGGCTAGCTGTTAAAAAAGAGGGAACTGAGGCTCAGAGAGGTTAAGTCACCAGCTTGAGATCATACAGTGAGCAACCGACTCAGTGTTCAAACTCAGGTCCTCCTGGTAACCAAGGCCGCCCACTTTGCACTCTACCCTGAGGTCCAGCACTCCCATCTTCTTGACTGAAGGATGGGGACTCTGGCATTTGATCGATCTACTTTAAAGCAAGGGGATCCAATTTCTCTACAAGCCTATCACTGTGAACATCTGTTGCCTTGTGCGTCTTCTGGTGTCAGTGCCTTGATGTTCCCCTGGGAACCCACTTTCTTCCATTCCCAGTTAGTTCCTTTTCCCTCTCAAGCAGCTGTGCTGTGAGAATGGCAGCCTGGAGCTTGGGGACAGGGAGGAAGGCCACCATGCAGGGAGAGCTAGACTGGGAAGGGAGGGTACAAAGAGATGAGAAGACAGAGGGACGTACTCCCCGTGACGTCACCTCAATACCTGGGTCCACACATTGCTGAGACCAGACCCCTCAACTCCTGGACTTTTGTGACCTCAGTCGGTACATTTGCTTTGGTGCATAAAGCAGTGTGAGTCTGGATTCTATCGTTTCAAACCCAAATATATGGGTATTGGCATTTACTACCCTTTTATTACCCTCAAGCTTTTCTTCTCTGCCATATTCATCCACTGATGCATCCATTCAAACATCTGTCCAGACCTCACAGTGTACAGCACTCAGCTCAGCACCCTTGGGAGACAGAACATTCTCCTAAAGGGCTTACAGTCAAGGAGGCATCAGACCAGAGAGAGCTGGCGGCCTCAAAAGGGCCCAAAGGGAAGATGTGTGTGTGCTCCTCTAAATTCTAGAAACAAAAGTTTCTCCTCACAGGCCATATACTGGGAGCCAGTCCTTAGAGTCCACCTAGAGTAGGAAACAGCACACCTCACCGCCCTGGGGTGCTGACAACCCTATTGTTGTTGCTTAAGGCCGTGCCGCCATCTACCCTCCTGAATGCGCAAAGTGGCTCTTCCTTTAAATATCAAGGACATTGATATTAATTATGGTTAAAGCTATAGAGAAACTGGCGCACCACAGCTATGGAATAGCCGGTCTGGAGCTGCAGAGGACATGGTGTCCTGGTTGCCTTCCTGCCCCAAGAACACGGAGCCCGTCCACGCGCTTGTCTTTGACGTCCTCCATAGTCCCGCACCAACCTACCTTTCCAGTCCCGTTCCTACTCCTCCCCTGTTCAGAACTAAAGGGAGCTCCAGAGAAATCAATGATTCACTCTTCTCCCTTTGTTTTTTAATTAAAAAAATTTAAATCCCAATATAATTAACATACAGTGGTATATTACAATATATATATATATACCGTGGTGTATACAATATACCTCGTGCCGCATCTGGTGCAGGATATACAATATATTGATTTGTTTCAGATACACAGTTGTATTCAGTTGTATTCAGTATTGATTCAGTAATTCTATACGTTACTCAGTGCTCATCATAAGCGTACCCTTGATCCCCTTCACCTATTTCACTCCCCACACTCCTCCCCTCTGGTAACCACCAGTTCTCTATATTTAGGAGTGTGTTCACCTCTTTCTTGTTTTGTTTCTTAAATCCCACATATGGGTGAAATCATATGGTATTTGTCTTTCTCTGACTTTTTTTTTTTTTTAAAGATTTTATTTATTTATTTGAGACAGAGAGAATGAGAGAGAGAGAAAGAGCACATGAGAGGGGGGAGGGTCAGAGGGAGAAGCAGGCTCCCTGCCGAGCAGGGAGCCCGATGCGGGACTCGATCCAGGGACTCCAGGATCATGACCTGAGCTGAAGGCAATCGCTTAACCAACTGAGCCACCCAGGTGCCCCTTTCTCTGACTTCTTTCACTTAGCATAATACCCAGTAGATCCAGCTGTGTTGTTGCAAATGGCAAGATTTTATCCTTGAAAAATTCCATTGTGCGTGCGTGTGTGTGTGTGTATCAAACACATCTTCTTTATCCATTCGTCTATCTTTAGACACTTAGGCTGTTTCCATATCTTGGCTATTGTAAATAATGCTGCAATAAACATAGGGGTGCATGTATCTTTTTGAACTAGTGTTTTCATATTCTTTGGGTAAATACCCAGTAGTGCAATTACCAGATCATATGGTAACTCTGTTTTTAATATTTTGAGTGACTTCCATACTGTTTTCCACAGTGGCTGCACCACTTTGCATTCCCACCAACAGTGCACGAGGGTTCCTTTTTCTCCACATCCTCGCCAACACTTGTTTCTTGTGCTTTTAGCAATTGACAGGTGTGAGGTGATATGTCACTGTGGTTTTGATTTGTATTTCCCAGATGGTGAATGATGTTGAGCGTCTTTTCAAATGTCTGTTGGCCATCTGTTTGTCTTCTTTGGAGAAATGTCTGTTCATGTCTCCTGTCCATTTTTAAGTGGATTATTTGGTTTTTGTGGTGGTGTTTTATAGAAATTCTTCATGTATTTTGGATATTAACCCCTTATCGGATGTATCATTTGCAAATATCTTCTCCCATTCAGTAGGTTGTCTTTTAGTTTTGTTGTTTCCTTTGCTTACATAGCTTTTTTTTTTTAATTTTATTTTATTGTGTTATGTTAGTCGCCATACAATATATCACCAGTTTTCGATGCTGTGATCCACGATTCATTGTTTTCGTATAATACCCAGTGCTCCATGCAGTATGTGTCCTCCTTAATCCCCATCACTGGGCTAACCCATCCCCCCACCCCCCTCCCCTCTAAAACCTTCAGTTTTTTTCTGAGTCCGTAGTCTCTCATGGTTCATCTCTTCTTCCGATTTCCGCCCCCTTCATTTTTCCCTTCCTTCTCCTAATATCCTCCATGCTATTCCTTATGTTCCACAAATAACTGAAACCATATGATAATTGACTTTCTCTGCTTGACTTATTTCACTTAGCATAATCTCCTCCAGTCCCATCCATGTTGATGTAAAGTTGGGTATTTATTTCTGATGGCTGAGTAATATTCCATTGTATATATGGACCACATCTTGTTTATCCATTCATCCGTTGAAGAGCATCTCGGCTCTTTCCACAGTTTGGCTATTGCGGACATTGCTGCTATGAACACTGGGGTGCATGTGGCCCTTCTTTTCACTACATCTGTGTCAGAGCTTTTTCTTCTTCTTTTTTTTTTTTTCTTTTTTTGCTGTAGTCCCAAAAGTATATTTTTGCTTTGCTTTCCCTTGCCTGAGGAGACATATCTAGAAAAAAAGTTGCTACAGCTGATGTCAGAGAAATTACTGCCTGTGCTCTCTTCTAGGATTGTTATGGTTTCAGGTCTCACATTTAGGTCTTTGATCCATATTGAGTTTATTTTTGTGTATGGTGGGAGAAAGTGGTCCAGTTTCATTCTTTTGCATGTAGCTGTCCAGTTTTCCCAACACCATTTGTTGAAGAGACTGTCCTTCCCATTGCATATTCTGGCCTCCTTTGTCATAGACTAATTGAGCATATAATCATGGGCTCTCTATGTGTCTATTTTTGTGCCAGCTTTGATTATTACAGCTTTGTAGTATATCTTGAAATCTGGGATTCTGAAGCCTCCAGTTTTGTTCTTTTTCAAGATTGCTTTGGCTACTCAGGGTCTTTTGTGGTTCCATACACACTTTAGGATTGTTTGTTCTAGTTCTGTGAAAAAGTCTGTTGGTATTTTGATAGGGATTGTATTATATCTGTAGATTGCTTTGGGTAGTATGGACATTAACAATATCTGTTCTCCTAATCCCCAAGCATGAAATATCTTTCCAGTTGTTTGTCATATTTAATTTCTTTCATCAGTGTTTTATAGTTTTCAGAGTACAGGTCTTTCACTTCTTTGGTTAGGTTTGTTCCTAGGTATTTTACTCTTTTTGGTGCAGTAGTAAATAGGATTGGTGTCTTAATTTCTCTTTCTGCCGCTTCATTATTAGCGTATAGAAATGCAACAGATTTCTGTATATTGATTTTATATCCTAAAACTTTACTGAATTTGTCTATCAGTTCCAGTAGTTTTTTGGTGGAGTCTTAAGGGTTTTCTATATATAGTATCATGTCATCTGCAAATAGTGACAGGTTTACTACTTCTTTACTAATGTGGATGCCTTTTATTTCCTTCTCTTGTCTGATTGCTGTGGCTGACACTTCCAGTAGTATGTTGAATCAAAGTGGTGAGAGTGGGCATCCTTGTCTTGTTCCTGATCTTAGGGGAAAAGCTCTGAGTTTTTCACCATTGAGTATGTTAGCTGTGGGTTTGTCATATACGGCCTTTAGTATGTTGAGATATATTCCTTTTAAACCTACTTTATTGGGGTTTTTATCATGAATGGATGTTGTACTTTGTCAAATGCTTTTTCTACATCTATGGAAACGATCATATATGGTTCTTATCCTTTCTATTAAATTGATGTGATGTATTATGTTGATTGATTTGCAAATATTGAATCACCCTTGCATCCTGGGAATAAATCCCATTTGATTGTGGTGAATTATTTTTTTTAATGTATTGTTGGATTTGGTTTGCTAGTATTTTGTTGA